TCGCGCGGTGACTGTCTTTGTCCGCGGTAGCAACAAGATGGTAAGCTAGATGGTCCTTGACCGAAAACCTTCAACTAACATGTTTCAGATCATCGACGAGGCCAAGCGTTCTCTCCACGACGCCCTCTGCGTCGTGCGCAACCTGGTTAAGGATAACCGCGTTGTCTACGGTGGTGGTGCCGCCGAGATTGCCTGCTCCCTGGCGGTCGAGGATGCCGCCACCAAGACCCCTGGTCTCGAGCAGTACGCCATGCGTGCCTTCGCCGAGGCCCTGGACGCCGTTCCCATGGCCCTGGCCGAGAACAGCGGTCTCAACCCTATCGCCACTCTGGCCGAGGTGAAGAGCCAGCAGGTCAAGGCCAGCCCCGCTGATCGCGGAAAGCTGGGTGTTGACTGCATGAACCGTGGCAGCAACGACATGAAGGACGCCTTCGTTATCGACCCCCTCATCAGCAAGAGACAGCAGCTCATGCTTGCGACGCAATTATGCCGAATGGTATTGAAGGTCAACAACGTCATCATCGCCGGGTCTGGCGAGGAGGACTTTTAAAGATTTAAAGCAAAAATGATGATGAACGGAAAAAAGGTTCTAGACGGGTCAGTGGTGTTTGGGATTATACCAAGCTTTGTACTATGCAAATAGAGAGGCCCCAATGTCGAGACCAATACCAGTCCTCGAATTTCCCCAGCCGGCATTCCAACCTTTTTTTTCAGTTTACGAGTATATTTGGTGACTAAAGTATGTTGCCAGTGATTGCTTGATTTATTGTCTTGCGCGTTGGCCCGCTCCATGAATCTTCATTGGATGTCGAATGAAGCCCAGATGAAGTGCAGATTAGCAAGTACATATGAAATCGATTACGGGCTAAATCTTAGCCATTACTTTTTAGATGAGTTTCGGGGACATGGAAGAGTTGATTTAGTCCACGCTGGCGTCAACCTCGCGGAGCCGAGCAAAGTTCAATGTTATGGTATTCTAAGTCAAAAGTCATTTGCAATGTCTGGTCTATGCCAATGTATGCCGTCTACTCTATCCGCATTTTACGCATCTTTTCTAAGCCCCTCTACTGCATCCAGCCTCTCTCAGCAGTGTACTTCAGGTACGGCTCCATGTCTCTGTAGAACACCCGCTGCAGCTCAGCCTGCTCCTCGGGCGTAGGACGAGTCTTCTCGCCCTGGCGACGGTTCCAGCTCTCCTGTGTCTCGGTCAACAGGGCCTTCTCATCCTTGCCGGTGCTGTCGGCAAAGTTGTACGATCTGTACTCGGTATTTTCCCACCCAGTCGCTGCAAGCTCATTAGCAAGACCGTCCGGCACCAGCTCTCATGAACGTTGGGGAGAAAAACGTACCTTTGCCAGCAGGAACTCCGTGGAAGTCATTCGTCAAAAAGTGCAAGAACCCTCCGTGAGTGACAACGACAATCTGCGCATCACCCTCGACACCGCCCGCGATCTCCCTCAAAGCCCTCCTCGCCTCCGCAGCTCTGACCTCGAGCTTCTTCAACGTCGGCTCCCACCTGCTCTCGGGGTTCTTCTTCTCCGTCCAGTCCGCCGGCACCCGACTGAAGTCCACCTTGCCCTCGAACTCACCCTCAATCTCAGAGACGGCGGAGCCGGTGTCACACGGGGCATCTGAGACCTCCTGGACCTCGGGCAGGGCGATGACCTTGCCCAGGTGTCCGTCCTCAGGGCCGAAGCCGAGGAGGCAGGTGTGCAGGGTGCGGCGCAGCGGCGAGGCCACGAGATGGGTGAGCTTGGAGTGGTAGGGGAAGGCGGCGCGGAGGTCGGCGCATTGCTGCTTGCCCTTGTCTGTGAGCAGGGGGTCGCGGATGGCCTCGTTTTCGACATTGAGGTTGTGGAAGCCCTGGGCGTGTCGGACGAGGTGAATTTGGACAGGCATGGTTAATATGGTTGGCGATGTCGCGAAGTTTCTGTGTGGTGAGATGTCGTTTCTATGACACGCAATTGACTTGGAGGGGTTGATGTTGGTGAGACAGATGAGGTTGTGAGACAGGCGGGGTAAAGTTCTGGGGAAAGAAAAACAAACACCTTGAAGGCTGAGGGAAAAAACGGCTGGCGATGTGGTTTATTTGTTCACTTTCTAAACGTTACAAAACCTCCGGTGCTCGGTGTGGATGACTGCGTGATTCACGATCCAATGATAAAAGCACGCGGTCTCGAGACACCTACGTAATGGCTCCCCCGTCCTCGGGAAAATTCCTTGGTTGGGGCAAAGCGGCGTTGGCTGCGGCGGCGGCGGACACTGGAGTCAGGGTCCACGGCGCCAGTGCACACCTCACACACACACCAGACATCCATGGATGGCCAAAAGTGGATGTTCTTTCCACCGGCATCATGGCGGGACAAGAATCTTCTCGCAAAATGACTCAAACGACAGGAGAGGAAACTCGCAGCGCAGCGCAGGGCAGCATACAGTGGGTGTGCCGCAGAACGCGGACTAAGAGCCAAGAACGCTGCAGTGTGGCCCGCTGCACCGACCGTAGCGCTGCGGCGCCGATGACCGGGGCGAAATGCGGGGCACACCCGTCTGGCGCCGTCCGGAGTGGTTGGGCGGGGCAGGGGGAACGGCTTATCAATTGAGGCGAGCTGACTTGTTGCCGAGATCGCGGGCCGACTTCGTTGCGACGGAGTTACTGCTTGTGGCAACTTATACAATTGAGCTGGTGCGCGATGTTTGAAATTGGTCAGAATGCCGAGATTTCGAACTAGCCCGGAAGATGGAGTGACTAACTGAAGCTGTCAGGTGAGAATGAGGATAAACAGGCAGAATGTGACTTCAGGCTTTGAGTTTCCATTTTAAACCGGTTGACATGACGGAACAAGTTAGATGAACAATTTGGCCGCTTGAAGTTTGCTTTCAAAACGGTAAAGTCCCAAGCGAAGCCCGAAAGCCAAGCCGAGGAAGTTTCCAAAACTTTAAACAGTCCTCAGTTACCTGCATCGTCTTTCATTCTCTTAGTGCTATTATGGCGTGTGATGAATAATTACTCGGGCAGTGTGGTTCGGGAGATCGAATCAAATAACGATGTTTCGTTCGCCATGAAAGGCAACGTGAAGCGCTCACTGCTGCTATCTTTTCCGCAATAAAACCTTGCAAAATATCTTGCGGCATCATATTTGGCACATTGGGGAAAGCATACGGATGAGAAGAGAGACTTGAACGACAGTTACTCTTTGCCCTGGCAGTCTTCCTCGTATAAATTATCATGTTATACATCACAAGCCGAAAGATGGATCAATTATTGTTCCCTTCGGAGGTCTCAATCGGAGCAGATTCGTATCCTTCTGTTGAGCTATGCTCTGGTTGAGAGACTTGGTGGACAGTTCCTCTCCAACGAAGTTACTTCAACGAACCCTAAAGATTTGAGGTATGTCTCTTCTGTTTATTCCACTTGTGTATGAACCAGGGACAGGGGCAGACTAAGACAGAACTGCGAGGTTATATATTCTACCACAAAGAACCACAACGTCATTCGTTTTTATAGGCGCAGATGTTTTTCGTCCTGTCACGACGGCAAACCTTTCAAACATGCAAACACAAAAGCTTGTTTGAGATGTCGAGAACCACCTCGAATTTCGCGTTTTTTTTCAGCAAGCCGAATACAGGCAGAGAAAAATCATTATTTTATCGACTCTCTTAACTGTATGAATGCGAGCGCAAAGCTTACTGGACCTTTCAGGTGAACCAGAAAGACGGATTCAAGCCAAGTCGGTCTTTTGTTCTTCATCGCGCATGTCCAGTGGACATTCTCGGGTATACGATATACCTGGAAGAGAAGCCGATAAAGATGCAAGTGTGCATAGTCTACCGCAAGTTGGCCTGGTCTTTCTGGATCACAGTGTTGTAGAGATGGCTCATCGTGGGACGTTGCTGTGTATTGTGCGGAGGAAGCCCTTCACCAGCGTTGCCTGACTCTTAAATAATAGCATAATCCAGCTCAGATCAACCTCAGCTCATTCTGAACACCGGCAGAATCTGCCTCATTCGAAACACCTATCTGGTAACGTGCCTCACTCTCAAAAGTAACACGTGAGGCAAGATAGGTGGCCTTGGGTTGCCCTACAAAGCCCCTTTTGACCTCTTCAGACATCAAACCGAAACTAATTATAGCCTATGTCTCTCACGCATGATCCGCTTCGTCGTGCTGCAAACCACCCCAAGCTTTCTACACTACGCACTCCCATTGCTGTTTAAGGAACCCCCCTTCAGACATCGCTCAAAGCAGAGTTTTCATACACAGCTGAGTCTTTCCAAGCTTGCAGAAAACAGGGCGGCTTCGCTTAGAACTGGCGAAAGCAGCCCCTTAGCCGAACAAGGCTCAAGCCGAGTCCACGAAGACTTTGACAACACCATAAATATGGAAAATCTATACTTGGATCTTTGGACGCAGAACGGCAATGTTTCACCCTCCTCTTGCAAGATGTATGCTCATGGAATGGTCGATTTGTTTGGACCACCCCGCTGAAAGTACACTCCTTTGCTGCCCAAACCCAAACAATCACATTTTCTCCCTATAGCTATAGACTATCAACGAATACTTGAGGAATGATCGACGGACACAGGCCACCAGTTCTAGGGATGCTGCGTGAAAGCATGGAAAGGGGAACCGAGCGTAAAACGTTGTTTCCACATCACGAGAGAGACATCTGTAGGCAGAAAAAAACCTGTGAACGTCCCGGTCCAGACGGCACCCATGCTGCCCAAAAAGCCAGCGATTGCGGAATGAATGAACGTAACGGGACGCAGAGTGGGTATTTGTTCCCGCTTCCGCCCTCACTTCGACTTCACCTTCACTCACCTCTCCCTCAGGTACCTCACTTTAAGATGGCCAGGCATCTACCAGCGCGTCTCTCGCTACTGCTTTCACCCTTAAAAAGCTCACCTTCTCCTAACTATCTTCCCACATTTCCTCATCTCAATATCGGCACAGCCAGAGCATAACACACACATAAATCATTGCCGACATAAACACCATCACCATGCCCAACGAAGACCACCCCAACATCCTTGCCTCTCACCAGCCTCCTGAAACCTTGGATCGTTTCTGCGCTCGTTTCCGTACGTACCCCAACACTCGACTTTTTTTAGCAAACTAACAATGAAAACAGTAGCAAAGGCTCTCGCCGATATCGAACGCAAGATAAAGGAGCAGGAGCAGGCGAAGAAGAACAATGGACAGCAGAAGGGAGAAGAGCAGACAAAGGAGCCCTCCTCTTCCTCCTCATCCGCTCCCGAGTCAAAGCCGGGAGCCCATCCCTCGCTCCTCAAGCCTCGTCCCGTCTTCCCAGGAACCATGTTAATCCAAGAACCCGCGTTCCCACGAACCTGATGAACACACTGACACAAAATGACTAGGAACATCGCAATCTTGAATAATGACTGGATTCCGCTTGTCGACGAGGTCGACCTCAAGGTAACGCGCCCACCAACTCCTTTTCATCTTCCAAGTTCGTTCAAAGAAGAAACGCGCTCTGCAGGTCTCTATAGATGTTTATGGCCAACCTCGTCCCCAACAGGCACGCTTTCAGCGTGAGGTCTATCTGGCCAGGGAATTTGTCGCATAGGAGCAGTTCCAATACGAGAAGGAGCAACAGGGCCGGGAGGAGGCGTCTGAGAGTGCCGCTGGATCGAAGGTCGCCGCTATTGGCGACGCTGAGACGAAGGGTGCCCGATAAAGCGATCAGGACGGGCCAAACTAGAGACTTCTCCGTCAGAGGCTGCGGATACTTCATCTCCTGTTATTGGGAGGAGGAAATCCAGGAGACCAACTTCCTTGCAATAGCCATGACTCCTCGGCTTAGATCGTACTTTGATGGAATTGATGACTTATGCCACATACACGGACACGGCAAACTTTTGCCTGTATACTCGGAGTAATGGACTTGGTGGGCCACACGCGACTTGCCGCTCTCGCTTCGATCTCACCTTCACCTTCACCATCTCATTCACGACCCACGCACTATTCACCCACCCCGTCCTGAACCCCAAGGCATCTCTCAGAGCACCTTCGTCTCAACCCACTTCGCCGATTTCACCCCCAGAACTCACCTTCCTTCAATCTCTCCCAGATTTCCATCTCAACACCAACAAAACCACACACACATTACCATCACCATCACCGCCGCCGCGACCATGTCTGACATCTCCGAGGAGGAGTTGAAGTACCTTGCGGAAAACGCAGACCGCCTCGTCCCTTACTGTCCGCCTGGATACTTCGCTCGCATTCGTAAGTGTCTACGATGCCTGCCGAAAGCGAATCAAAATAGCTGACCCCCAAACCAGAAGCCGAGGCCCTCGCCGCCCGCGAGCTCAAGAAGAAGGAGGAAGAGAAGGAGAACGAGGAGGAGGAGGAAGAGGAGAACAACAACAAGAAGAAGAAGAAGAAGGACGAGGTGAATAATGACGAGGAGAAGAGCGACGAGGAGGGCAACGAGAACTGGGAGGACGATGACGAGGAGAACGAAGGCTGGGAGAGCGAGGAGGATGAGCACGAAGACTGGGGAGGGTATCCAAATGAAGGCCTTCCCATTATCTTCCACCTCTCTCACTTCGACTACGACAAGGACGGAAATCTCGTGCCTCGTGTGGGACCCAAGACCCTTGCCCTGTATTGTAAGTATCTTGCTAACAATGCGACTGTTGAAAGCAGACCAACTAACCGTTAAAACAGACGACGAAGAAACCGGAGACTACGTTGGCGAGGTGATCGCCAAGGTCGAGCCGCAGGAGGTCGAGGAGCAGGAAGCCAAGCAGCAGACGGCCAAGGAGCAGAAGATCGAGCAACATAATGTTGAGGAACCCACGAAGCAGCCCTACTCCAAGCCTGCTCCCCAGCGCAAGCCGAGAACCAACCTCTCCCTCCCCAAGCCGATCCCCGCCTTCCCGGGATACAAGTAAGTAAACATCCATCATGCCCACAACCCCGAAGGAAATACTGATACTGAAGCCAGGAACCCCGACCTCCGAATCAAAGAAGACTGGACCTTGCCCATCGACCAGGTCGACTGGAAGGTAAGTCGCCCAACATTCCTCAAACCATTGCCCTTTATCAAAATCCTCATCACTAAACACATTCCAGGCACTTCACTATCGCGAGGTCATGCGGTCCAGAGAGATGGGCGAGTGGCATCGCTCCCAGTACAGGCTCGCCGTGAAGGACTGCAAGAAGGCCTGGAAGAAGGCATCGCAGCGTCTGAAGGAGGGTCGCGGCGTCGTCATGACGGAGGTTGTTCAGGAACCCGACCAGCTGGAGATTTGATACTTGATGACGATGAGGACTGGCATAAACATATAAAGCCAGCCTGGAAGATGGTTAGGAGAGGCGTAATGTGGGATATGGAGGGAGCTCTCATCTTGTCATCATTTAACAGCCGTTCCACAGGCTGCTTAACAACGAGTGCGGCCTTGATGTCAAAGCACCAAAGGTTGGCATAGGGTCATTGGCGGAAGAGCGATCGACAAAGGGGGAATCACGCAAGGGTAGGAACAAAAAGAATCAAGCACATGCAATCGTCAATCAAATGTTTACATTACTAGGTAGTCTTATGACACCTTGCCACCTGGTACAACTCCACATCACAGATTATTGTTCCCGGCGACGAGCAGGACAAGGGAATGCAAACGTGTCCAACAAAGATATCATTTTACAGCTCATTCTCAAGCCCGAATAATGCAAAGAGTTACTTCGGCTTGCCCTTGTGTCCCTGAAACGCCGAAACATATGTAGTAGACCTGCATGCATTCGGACCGCATCCTCCTCAAAGATCAATTAGACTCTCCTCCACCGCCGGCTGCTTCGGGGCGTGCTGCGGCGCAGTCGGGAACGACTCCTGGGTATATCCGCTGTTGTACTGGCCCTGCCAATGCTGCGGCGCTGATTGCTGGGGTACTGACGGCTGCCAGTAGCTCTGCTGCTGGGGCGGAGCCTGATGCTGCTGTGTATGCTGAGCGGGTTGGGCCTGTGCCTGGACGGGTGTCTGCTGGTGAGACACGGACTGTCTATACTGCACCGCCTGCTGAAGATTGGGGTACGGGGAGGGATTCGGGTCGGCGGATGGTGGTGCGGACGGGGGCGCACTGGGTTGCTGAGGGTTGAAGTAGTAAGAGGCGTTGGGATCGTTTGATGGTGTTGCGGCAGGTTGGTTTTGGTGGTTTGCGGGAGGGGTAGGCTCGCTGGGATACGAAGGTTGAGGCGCATACTGCTCGGGCGCGGGCGCACCTCCACTTCTCCAGCTGTCTGTCCGTTGAGGCTCCTGGGGAGGGTATACGCCAGTTGGGGGCCCAGACACCGACGCTCGCTTATCGAACGTCGCGTACTGAGGCTGAGGAGTGTGTTGAGGATGAGGAGGGTAAGCCTGGGGTGGCGGAGCGTGACCATAGTCCACTCGTTGCTCGCCAGTGTAAAAGTTTTCGGCAGCACCAGGGGCGCTAGCCTGAAGTGAAGGATAAGAGCCGGTCGAGTGGCGGACAGGAGGAAGATTATAACCTCCGACGGCATGTTGGCTGTATGCCTTGGAAAGCCGCTCCTCGAGCATACGATCGTAGTAGCGCACCACAGTGGAAAGCTTGGCATGGAGATCCAGGAGGGTATCTGGGATGGGTTAGTACTGAAAACGGGGGTTACTCAAGGGCTATACACACCATGCTTGCTCATGGTCTCTCCGTAGGTGCGGGCGAGCTTCGGCCGCAGGGTACCGATACTGTCATACAGCTCCTGGATTTGAGGTTCACGCAGAATGGTTCCAGGCGGTTGTGTCTGCAGGCGGTCGACGAGGGTCGCGAAGAGGTTGATGTTCTCGGCCTCGACCGGCGTAAGCTCGTAGTCGTTCTTGGGCAGGGAGAAGTGCTGAGTCGATGAAGGTCCAGCGCTCGACGTCTGCTCCTTCAATACAGCGGCGTGCCTCTGCTTCTGCTCCTCCATGTCGGCCAGCGAGGCGGCGATGGCAGCTTTAAGGTCTTCGTCCTCATCCTCTGCGCCATTCGTCGGGACAGCAGAGCTTCCGTTCACCTTGGCATCCGGGCCGTTGGCGGTGGGAGGCACGTAGCCCTTAGAGTAGTTCTTGACCTCCTCCAGACTCATAGCTAGCGCCTTCTTCAAATCCTCATCGAATGCGTCGTCAACGCGCGCATTGCGCGGCTGCATAGCAGACGTGCTGCGGGTCTTGTAAGGGTAGGTGGGAGATCGGTCTTGGGGCAGTGGCGAAGGCGCGCCTCCCTTGCTGGACTTGTCGGTAAGCTTCGCATAGCAGCCATCGTCGACGCGGACGGGCGCGAGGATGCCGAGATGGGGGAGGGGCAGCGACTTGGTCGAGCACTGCTGGTCGAAGCAGTTGCCGCAGTTGCGACAGTGGTGCTTTCGGTTCGTGAAGGTGAAAGGGGTTCGGCATCGCATGCAGACATCTGAATCAACCCACTCGGGGGGCTGTTACTTGTCAGCGTGGGGGGCATCAACGGCATTCAGACAGAAAACCTACAGCGCTGCTGTCAATCATGCTGCTGGAGACGGTGACCCTGGGAGGGAAGTGGTGGCCTTCTCTCTGTAGTGTCTTGTAGACCTCTCCGATGTATCCCAACTCGTGGCGGCCTTCGGTAGCGGCGGCCCAGGACTGTATCAACTCGAGGATCTTCTGCTTGACTTCGTGGTTGACGGCGGCAGGACCAACGGCTTGGAGAAGCGAGGTTAGGTTGTCCATAAACTCTCGCGAGGCGATTTCGGCAAGGAAGTGGGTGCCGCCGTTTTTGACGCACGTGTCGGTAAGCTGCCATCCGGGTTAGCTTATGTATATAAGAGCAGGCAGTAGCGAAGCATGGCATACGTTGAGGGCGCTCAGCTGGGTATTTGGGTTCTTGTTGCCGATGCGCCTTTTGAGGGAGCGCATGGCCTCCTTGGGCTGGACGGTCTTGGACCTGATGACATCAGAGATCTCGAGATTCAGAGCGATATCCTCCCTGCTGCAGCGTTAGAACAGTCATTTGAAACATCGGCATCGGGTCGTACAAGCTGCTGCTGGTGGCTTTCTCGATCTGCTCGTCCAGGGCCGTGTTGGCCGAGCTGGACCACCAGCCCATCATCTTGAAGGCTGGGTGCGGTATGCGGGATGGGCGGGGAGGCGAGTGCAAACAAGCGAATGTCGATCGTCGTCGGCGTGCTATCTATGTGTACGTGGTTCGTGTGCGGTCGCGATGCCGACGTTGCGGGATTACGAGGCGAAGGTGGAATGGATTGCGCGTAGGAATATTTGATGGAGGAGCGACAGAGGAAAGCTTGGAGTGCGTGTGTCTGTTGGCCCAGATGCAACAGCCTTAGCCTTGGGGTCTCTGGGATGGTGCGTATGGTTCGTTCAGTTGGAGATGCAGCAGGCTAGGCCCGATTGTCCACCTCAGGTCGCCCTGGAGGTAGCTTGCAGGCGGGCTGGATATGGCGAGGTACTTCGATGCCTGGTGGTGGCTACCTTACGTTGGCTCAGTGCGTAGTCAGGCAGGACGGGTACCTAAACTTACGCAGCGACTCTGGTTCCGCTGCAGGGATGCATGGGGATTGGTAAAGGGCTGCCTTGCAGGTGTCGTCGCGGGCCTCGTGGCTGCTTCACCTGGTGCTGCTGACTACCTACGCGGTACGTACCTGGATAGTAATCGACGGACGGAAATCTCCGCGCTAAGCCCAAAGGGCGTGGGACTTTGAAGACGGGTTTTGGGGGGTTCCCCAGAGATGACGAAGTTGCGAACATGGCGGTGGAGCCACCTGTGGCGCATGGGTTTGCCAACCTGCCCAAATTGCTGCGGGCCTTGGCATTGAGCTTGCTGTAAGTACATGACTTGGGCATCTCTGGGTGATGCACTCTTTGACATGAGCTCCTTCACATTGTAATGCGTTTTTGCATTTGTCGCCATGTAATACCCGGCAAAGAAACAACATCGAGGGTGGGTATTTAGGTAAAAGCCAAGCTATATTGGTTGTGGCGCGGCACTATGAGTTGTCAGTCATGCCAGCTGTAGCACCTACCAAGGTATCCGTACCTAGCTTTTGACCTTACTCAAAGTTGCCGCCCAAGATGGATGCACCCAAGTAAAATCAACGGCGAACCCGCCGCCCGGCCGCCCTCCTTCAGTGACAGTCGCCCGGTGTGATACCCTGAGACTGAAGAGAAGAGAAGAAAAAGACAGGGGGACCGACTACCCTGCCCGCCCTGCCCGCCTGTTCCAGTTCCAGTGCCTGAAGCATTCAAGAGGCCGGATGCGTCAGTGATCCCGACTGCCCTCCAGCGCAGCGTTTAGTTGCCCTGTCCAGAGGTAGCCCTGGTCTCGATGTCGACGGGTACCGGCCCTCTCGGATAAGATACCGTAACGCCCCCCAAAAACACAGCCGCCGCAACGGTACCGTTCCCTCTCCACAATGTCTTGCTATTGTTGAAACTGTTAGCGCCCGGCGACGACGACGACAGCGAGGCTGCCCTCCACCACGGACCATCGTCCTTTCACAAGACGGCAGCACAGCATACGGCACCACAAACCTGTTCTATTCTACCTCTCTTTTCCTCAAAGACGCCTTTTGGCTGCCCCCGCCATTCTTCCAACCCGCCGAAAGCCCTCTGCTCTATTCAAGGAAACATGCACACTGCAGCCCGCCCTGCAGCTGCGCTTGCAACGTACTACTAAAGCGTCCCGTCGCCTGCCACCCATGACGATCCCGCCGCCGATTGTCGTCGTCTCCGAGTCCCGTCCTCCGTACCTTGATCGCTCCGAATCCTCCCACCACCACCACTGCCACTCCTCGAATCTACCAACCCTAACCACAGCAACATCCCCCGCGACCGACCGAGCAGCCGCGCGTGCAGCGACATGATCCAACTTCTACACTCATCCCCCAGATACTGTTCCTCGTTCACATGAGTTCGACGGCCTCCTCAGCCACCAGAACCGTCCTCGGCGGCGGCGGTCCTGCCATATCCAACGGCACCTCTCTACACTCCTTCGCCATGGGCGGAGACGGGGGACCGGCCGGCCGCGGCGCCAAACAACCCCTACCCCATATAGACGACCTCACCTCCGCTTCCCCCGATGTCGATATGAAGCTACCCTTGCGCAAGATTCTCGAGAGGGGCGACAATGCCATGCGACAAGCCGAGACCTTCCGCGACTTTGGCAGACCAGACCTCGCTTTCAAGGAGTACCTGAAGGCCTCCCTGATTGCCATTCGATATGTGCCTCAGCACCCCGATGCCCTGGCCGTGAGGGGCGGCCAAGGAGACATGAGCCGCATCTACTCTGCCCTCATGAAGAAGATAGAGTCCCAGCATACAGCCTTTGAAAAGATCAAGGCCGACATCATCGCCGACAACCAAAGAACGGGCGTCCGCCCGACCACCTCGAGACCATCCTCCATCGTCAACGGCCAAGCGAACCGACCCATGTCACCCCAGGGCCAGCCGGGCGCACCGCTGATGAGTCCTACGAGAGCCGAGGCCGGTACACAGGTCAATGGCTCACCAAAGCCGAAACCTGCTGTCCAGCCGAAGCCCCAATCTTTACATGGCAATGTGATACGTTCGGGGGCTGGCACACCGACCCTCAAGAGCAAGGCCGCCGAGGATCTGGCAGCCCGCTTCGCCAACCTCAGAGGACCGGTAGCTTTGCCTGGCCAAGATCCCCGCATACGAACACATCCCCTTGTTCCGGCCAGACCAGCAGGACCGAGGGCGATGCCCGAACCGACCGAGAAACCAAAGGTGGCAGTAGTGACAAGCCTGCCAGATCTGCCAAAGATGCCGGACGCCATCTACAGCCCGGCCAGAGGAACCGTGTCTAATGAAGCAGCCTCCTTGCCGTCAAGTACACCCCGCGGCCTGTTCAGCAGAACGGGCTCCTCGGCAGCGATCAATACCGTCCTTGCCAACAACAAATCGTCTGATTACTTCGCTCAACCCCAGCCTCAGCCTAATGCCGCTCCTGCTCCAATTCACCGTCCCAGTATCACGATCCCCGAGGGAGACACCATCACTGCCGAGGACCTAATGAGTTTTATAAGAAGGGGTTCTGCAACACTCCAAGTTCTAATCATTGACGTCCGCAGTCGCGACGATTTCGACGAGGGCCACATTCTGTCACAAGCCGTTATCTGCATTGAACCCAATATTTTACTTAGAGAGAACATTTCTTCAGAGCAGATCGCCGAAAGCATGGTGCTCTCACCCGCGCAGGAGTACCACCACTTCGAGCGGAGGGACGCTTTCGACCTGGTGGTTTTCCATGACCAGGACTCAGATGCTATCCCACGATATATTTCTCCTGACATGGACGCAGCCGCACTGTTGTCACTCCAGCGCGCATTAACGTACTTCAATTATGGAAAGGAATTGAAGAACCCCCCGAAGTTGCTCCAGGGAGGCCTGGATGCGTGGACAGATCTTATGGGAAGGGCTGCTTTGGCCACGTCCCAGACAGCTGGTGCTGCTAGGGCCCCTAGGATTCGGTCTCCTTTGAAGCCTTCCATCTCCATCTCAAAGCCAACCAGGCAATACAAAGTCACGCCTTTGAAGCCTGAAGAGGTCAAGCTTTGGGAGGAGACGCTGCACAATGCAGACCTCGAGACTGCGCGCTCTCCTGGGTTCATGCATGTGCGCAGCACCGAAGAGTTTCTGCGGAGATTTCCAGCCGTCTCGGCTGAGCAGGAATCCATGCAGTCACCCATCAGTCCTGAAAAGCCCACGTACAACAACTATCAAAACCACGCCGATATCTACTCTGACCTTCCGTCACCACCTACGCGGCCAGCTCCAGCTGTTCCTCGTCCCAGCTACAGTGGTCTTTCGCAAACGCAGGATGACCATGAGGCCCAGGGCTTGGCTTTCCCAGCGCAAGCTCGAAACCTCAAGCAGGGCCCATTGGCCCGCCCCGACTCTCCATCTGTCGGCGCAGTCAAGGATGGCCATCACATCACAGGTCTCAACAACCCCGGTGTCTGGTGTTACGCCAACAGCTCCATCCAAGCCCTGCGGATGTCGCCTGGTTTTGGCAAGGAACTGGCCACGTTTGAATGGCAAAACACGTACAAGGTCCCGAAGAAGCCCGATGAGAAGAGCGATCCCCCTCAGCTCATGTCGCGCATTCTATCCAACCTCTTCCACTGGATGGACTCCGGCAAGTTTGCCACCATGAAGGCCCAGACACTGATGGTAAGCCTCCTCGCCCATGGAGCTATGCGCTGTACTGACCATTCCTAGGACTACTCTCGATCGGTCTGTGAAAAGAGCCGGCTCAAGGACAAGGGTGACGAGTTTGGTGGTGGCCGACAGCAGGATGCTCAAGAGTTCATGTCCTGGCTGATGGCATACCTTCACGATGAGACAAACATGCGAAGAGATCGGGTTGGCGACGAGAACGCAGCATACCCTCAGATGAAGGTTGGCAAGTCGATGCTTCAGGGTGCGTACGAGTGGTGGGGTCACTACCTGAAAACCAACTCGTCCATCGTCGACAGATACTGGCGTGGCTTGGAACTCTCGACAGTGGTGTGTTCCAGATGCAACAACCGCACTTACAGCTTTGCGACATTCGACTTCATCTCGGTGCCCATCAACAGCAACACACAAACGATTGAAGACTGCCTGAAGTCATACCTCGAGCCAGAGTTTATCGACGATTACAAGTGCGATACTTGCAACATGAACGTACGGGGCCAAAAGCAGATCGCGCTCGCCCGTCTGCCGGAACTGCTGTGCGTGTGCTTCCGACGATTCGACTACGACAACACCGGTCAGGTGCAGAAGAAGCGGGACATGATCACATGGGACTTTGAAAACCTGAACCTCGACCAGTTCTTCATCCCGCCCGAGGAACGCAACACCGTCGGGCCCCCGCTCGACGAAAAGTTCGAGCTGCCCTTCGACTACGAATGTTACGCCGTCATCATCCACACCGGTACCAACATCACCAGCGGTCACTACTATTCCTACGTCCGCGAACCGCAGAACCCCGACCCGCACGCTTGGCACCGCATCAACGACGCCCGCGTGACCCCGATCCGCATCGACGGTACGGGCCGTGGGGGCGACGCCAGTCGCGAGGTGTTCAAGAAGAGCACCTCCGACGTGCCGTACCTCGTGTTCTTCCGCAGAAAGCAAGGTCGATCCTCGAGACGTTGATTTTTCCCCCAAGATGTTGTAATAGAGAGAGGGCATTGAAGAAGATGGTGAAAAAGGACGAAAGATATGTACATGTGTCGGGAATATCGGCGGGGCAGGGAAGGGGGGACAGGGTGGGGGACTTTTCAAACCTCATATAGAACTGAATGACGGCGGGCGGTTGCCAAGCATGGAACGATGTTGTCTTTTTTCTACGGTTTGAGTTTCTTCAAGCGCTTCTTCCAAAGCATGGCGTCTGGTTCGATTTTGGAAGGGGAGGGGGGTTTATCTTGCCTGTCACATTGGGGACGGACAGGATACTTTTTCTTGCTCTTTTTCGGGATGAGGTCATGACAAAACATTAGTTCTATTGGAATGAGAACCGGACATTTCAGGGATTGCTCTAGGCTTGGTGAATGACTTGAGTGACATGTGTAGATGAGAACATGGGTGAACCTACAACTGCGTCATGATGTCCTTCTGGAGCCCAGATTAGCTATTGTCTTGCTGGAGAACTTTTTCTTATTATCGAGCAGACCTCATGTTTGTATGAGTGCTCTCGGAGCCAAGGAGCGAACATTCTTCAGCGTCTTGACATAGAATAGCCATCGACGGAGGCCATCCAGCATCTTGAAGTGAAGAACACGCTGTTTCTGCCGACGAGTTGGCCAGAGATAGCGGAGTTTGTGAGATGGGATTTATCAAGTCTATCTATTCAAAATCGAGCCCCCATGGTTGGACGGCACGCGATGCCGTTGTGAACCTGATGAAAGGAGATGCCATACCGTCAATGTCTAAACTCCAGTATGATGTTTTGTTAGTTGCTGGGAAGTTGCTGACGTCGGACCATGGCAGTTGTGTTAGAGGCCTTTGAGAATTTAGTGAGAAGGATGTAAGTCGGATACGCCCGAGTTCATCTTGGTGTCCCTGTCAACTTTCCTCGACATGCCACCCATCTCTCGCCCACGAACCTTCACGACAACCCTATCCCAACACAACCACCATCCCCTCCATCCAACCTCCCCATGCGCCCCCTCGCAAACCCCAAAGGCCACCCCAAATACCCCTTCAACTCCCCCGGCAACCCCTCCTCGATCTCCTCCAGCCAAGCCAGCGTCACCCTCGCCCGGAAGCGCCCCTCGCGGCTCCGCCCCCTGCGGTGGTTGATCATCTCGACGACCTGCGCGAGCAGGAAGAAGTGCCCCAGGAGGATCCGCGCGGCGTGGTTCCCCGCCGCGCTGAAGCGCACGAAGTCGTCGCTGCTCATCTCGCCGAGGCGGTTGTACATTGCCGCGAACTCGAGGTACGCTGCTCTCTGGTTAGCACCCCCCTCATTTCCATCAGAAGACGAGCCAGAAACACTCACCATCCTCAGACCCGGCAATCGCAAGGCCGACAACCCTCTTCATCCCAGCCAGGTACTCGACCTCGCAGACGCTCCCGCACAGCGCCCCGACGTCCCGCAGACTCCCCACAAACCCGTCCAGGACCTCCCGCCGCTCTGCCTCTCTGACGTCCTCCAGCCTGGGCGATCTGCCGGGGTTGTCCGGCTGCAGCAGGGACCGGAAGCCCGAGACGTAGCCCGGGCCCGAGAACCCGCTGAACGCAGAGTCGGGGAATGAGGGCATCGCGTTGTCGGCGACGACGTGGCCTGTTTTTGTTCCAATGTTAGCATTTTTACACACAAAAACTGAGGGAAAGACTTACACCCCCGAACCATGGCCACGAAATCCCCCATCCCGTCAACCATGTACCCAGCCTGGAACGTCAACGCCATCATCGCCGCAAACGCCGCGTCCCCGTCGACCCTGCTCAGTCTCCCGCCGGAGAGCTTGTCGTTGAGCGCGCGTATCGCTCGCACCCTGTGCCCCAGCGCCTGCCGCTCCATGACGCCCGTCCCTGACGACGACAAGACAAAGTTACTGCTGTCGCCCAGAGTACTGCACAGAGAAAGATGCGACGCGCCGAGAGCTAACACTGCGTGCATCAAAAAGTCGTACTTTTCCCCCATCCGTCAGTCCACCAGAAACATAAAGCATGATCACCTGGAGAAGCACACAAAACTCACCTCATGCGCCATCCTCGCGACACCCCTCCAGACCTCTCCTCCCCCGACAGGCAAAGGTGGGATGGCATCCAGCACAAAGTGCTGAAAGAACCGCAAGTCCTCCATCCCAAATACAGGCCGCGGATCCATCACCATCACCGTCTCCCTCTCCTCATCCTCACCGTCGCCACTACTACTTTCCCCCGCCCCCCTCGTCACCATCCGTCTCCTCCCAGAACTCGCCTCCAGGTGCCTCTTCGCAGGCCACGCCCACTCGCAAACAAGCCCCATCCTTAGACACCCCTCACACTCGGGCCGCCGCTCCGAGCACTTGACCCGCCGCCTCTTGCACCCGATGCACCCGTTCCGCGACTTGGTGTGTCCCTTCCTCGGGCCGCCGCCGCCCCGGCGCTGCTTCACGGGATCGTCATTCTCACTCGTCGTGGTCGAGCGGCGATCTCGTTGGCGGTGTAGTTCCTCCGCTGGCTCCTCATCGTCGTCTCTCCTCCGGCTCGGAATTTTATTCATTCTCAGTCCCAGGGGGGCCAAACGATCCTGAATGCCAAGATAAGAAAGGTGGAAGAGTCAGTAAACTAACGCCACTCTCATGCACAGCGACATCCAAAAGAAAGAAAACTACAGCGTCTGAGAAAATAGGTTGGCAGCTGCGTCCAACCCCGTCCAACCAACTTGGACCAGAAAAAAAACATGGAATCTGACTTATCAGACTGCGCCGCCTGACGAGAGTAACCTACCTACTCGAGGCTACCAACAGCAGGTCTGCTTATGGACCGCGCCACGATTCCTTCGGCTTCCCTTCTTCGGGCCGCGTAACTCCCGGTGGCTTATTTCCATCTCCAGAAACTCGCAGCTTCAACATTCGTTGACAAGACAGGCGGGAAAGAAAACAAATCACATACGAGAACCTCTCTCATCAACACACCAAAAGACACCCATCGCCTTCCTTCATCCCAGCCCATCAACGAAAATTCATCCTCCCGCCCTCACTCGCCCTGTCAAACTTCCTTCGCGGCTCTACCCCCTCCACCCCTATTCTTTCTGTCATATCCACACGCCTCCCGCTCCAATCCCCCCCCATCGCGCGCCACTCCGACCTCGCCTTGCCCGGACAACTAACTAGACACAAAAACGCCATAAATATACCCGCCATCGAGAAAAGGAAAAAAACGCCTCCGGACGCCCTTATCGATTCACACTAAAATACCACCGAGATTAGCGTCGCGGCTCACCCCCAGCCTAGCGCAGCAAGTCACAATACGGGAATGGCTGGCTGGACAAAAGCCACCCCCCAATCACGACCCCTTCCCAAGAGCAACTACCATCTTTACTTGCTTTTTCCTGTTCTAATTCGCCGTGAAATTCCAAGGTGATGCGCATGAATTGTTGCTTGTGTGGATCAGTTGTGAAAAAAAAAAAAGAAATCGCCTGGGAAGATGATACCGTAGATTTTAGTGAAATGTTGGTTTTCTACACTATCAAAGGAATAGGGCCAGACACACCGCCAGCAGTATCTCAAGGCACAGTCTTCCTCACTTGGGCATTGCAAAACAACTCGGAATATGGGGAATCATTTTGGAGGAGTTCGTCTTGATTATACACACTATTCCCACATCTCTCATAAGACCCTGCCCGTTCTAGATATGGCGCCTCGCCTGCTTGTTTTTGCAAGATTCAAAGAAAAATTACACATTCCCCTCCAAAAAGTGACAATAGATATTAAGGAAAGTTGTGTGTGTACCAGTTTGGTAGTTGGTATCGATGCTATTCCCCCCTCATGGCGAGGGCGGTTGATGTTGCTGCAAATGCGTCTCCTCCGTCGGCGATCCCATAGACACATCCTCCCCGTCCACGAACGCAGCCGCCGTGGCCGCAGCCTCCCTCAAATCGTTGCGCGCAGAGAATCGCCGGATGGACCGTGACGAGCAGTCAGAATACCGCCTCATAGCGTTTCTATCGCCCGAGCCGGAAGGTTTCCTCTCGGGCGTGCTGGCGGAGGACATCATGGGCTGGTGCTCCTCCCTGGTCGGCGGAACTGCGCCGTCATTCCTGAGTGTCATGGCCGACCACCGCTCTCCGTGCGGATTGGGGTTGGCAGGCTTCAAGAGGAAGGATCGGTGTGCTTCGGAGGGGCTGCGAGGCGGCTGGCTGTCCCTGTTAATTGAGAACGGAGCCTCACTAAGGAGGGCCTTTTGGGCGGCGCGCTCTTCGGCGTAGCGGTGAATCGGCTCAACGCCCTCCAGGGCCTCTGTCTCTTGGATATTTTCAAACGTGGGCGAAGCCTTTGCGCCGCCGAAGCCTGAGCCGCGCTTGTCGTTGGGGTCGCGGATGGGCGCCGGCTCCCTGAGAGTCATTGCCGACCATCTGGCGGTGTCGCGTTTCTTGCTGAGGCCGTTTTTCTCGTTGAGCTGGTCGTCACTTGCGGCAGCGTCCTTCAGAGTCATGGCAGACGACCATCGCTCGCTGTTTCGGAAGCTCGGTGGGATCATGGGGACAGGCTCGATCGGATCGTCCATGGTGCGTTTGCCCTTCTCGCTGGCGCTGGAAGACGATCCCGCAATGGAAGCGTTGTGGCTGGCCGTCTTCTTAAGCTCGTCCTCCTTGCTCGGTACGTCCTTGTCGCTTGCGGACTCGCCCTCCAGCCTGAGGGTGAGGTAGGTGACGCCGGACGGGTAGTAACCCTCCTCGATGGCGCGGGTAAGATCGTAACGGGCCTGGTCGCTGATGGAGCGCTCGAGGCGGAGCTTCTTCATGTTCTCGGCGTCGACCGTCTCCTCCCAAGTCTTCTGGAACATGAGGGCGATCTCGTTGACGAGCAGGAGAATGTAGCAGGCAATGAGAACGCCAAGGTCCTGAAGTTGGTGAGTAGTCGGGTAGTCGCTGCCAGCACGTCTGGCCTGCGGGTTGGCCTGTCCTGCCTTTACGATGGTCACAAACTTAATGGAGGTGACGGCGATGCTCATGATCCAGAAGATGATGTTGGCTGGCTGCCAGTTGCGAATACGGCGCTGGAAACCCCGAGTGGACTGCATGACGGCGCAGACACCACAACCCGCGAAAACAAACGGAAGCAGGCCGACGCCAAAGTTGATGGATGCCAGCCTACCAATTTCCATGGCCTCCATCATAAAAACGACGAGGATGGTGAAGTAATAGAACGACAGTTGGGCGTGTCTCTGCCATTCGTGCTTGACTTCATACCGCTTGATTTTGTCCACGACGAGGACGGGAACGACAAAGTGAAAGAGTGCAAACGTGACAATGATACGGATCCATGCTGGCAAAGGCACAACGACACTGTCGAAAAAACACGATGATGGTAGAGGACCGAACTTTGAATGAGCCACCTGTACGAAGCGTTAGCTGGAACGATCCTTGGTTCTAGCCAAGCAGGGGAAGGCGACTTACGATCCCTTCAGGGCGGATACCACACAACCCCGACATGATTGCTTCAAGTGAGAGGCAGCGTTTTGGTTGGGCGCCGGTCACCTCTCGAAATCAAACGGGAGAAAGGACAGGAGTTCATCTCGAAGGGGGCGGCTGCGACGTAACTCTATCTTAATACAATGAATGGCACGTCGGAGGTGCGCACGCTTGGCGTGTCTTTGGGCGTCTATGAGCGGTCCATGTGGTGCTGCCGGGCTGGGACTGTCTCTGGGACAATGAGAGACACGGCATGCGGTTCTTGCTGTGGCTCTGGGCTCCACGCTCGGGGCTTGCAGAAGGGGGCGTTTCATTGTTGTGACAGTGGTGACGACGAGTATATTTCGAGAGCTGTGCTCATGGTCGAGCGGCCCTGCAGGTCCTCGGTTGGTGATGGCTCATTGGCCGGTAGGGAGAGACACGCGAGGCGGACTATAGGATGTGTCCGATGGGGGAAGTCCATTCTAGAATTGAGATGGCCGTTAGCTGCAGAGCTCGACATTTGGCTGGCGGGCGCCCGGCAGCGCCGCCGGAAGGGGTTCACAGGTCTGTGTCCGCAGAGTGCAGTCGTCTGCAAGACTACCTTACTCTTCATTCGTACTCTGTGTAATACAGTACAGAGTAGACCGAGAAAGGATGAGGCTAACACACGGCCCCTTGCCTTGGTCCTGGGGCGTGTGTGGACGAAGAGTGCCGAGCGGTGCTGTTTTAGGGCCAAAGTAAAAGCCGTTAGCCCAGCGTAGCTGCGTAGATCCCGCTTAGCCTCAATGACGGTGGCGGACGCTGGGGAGACGTGCCAGGCGTGTTTATCAAAGCTGGCGATCCGGGACACGTGCCAATGCTGGCGTATTGAGCCCCAGCCTTGCCTATCCAAGGCTCATGATGCCGCATACACATACATGGCTCATACGCCTGTCCGTTCGGATTGGGGTTCCCGAGTGGATCTCCGGCTGCAAGACACAAGACAAAGGCAGAGACGGTTTCCTCATAGCCGGGTCGTCCAATCCGTCTAGTACGATCGCTCGGCCGGTTAGGGTGTGAAGACCCAAGATTGCGATAGGCCGGATGATGCTATAAATTGCTTCTCGACCGGCTGCCACACGATGAACTCTCACCGCGCGGTCCCGAAGTCGACGCTGAGCCGCGTCGTGGGTGGTCAACCGCTTGGTTTCCACGGTTCCCGCTGGTTTCTTGCTATTTGGCGCTCGCACGGAATAGCATCGTCAGGTTTGTTATTTTCGCGACTGCCCTGAAGGAGTTGTAGCAGGAACCTGAGTCGTCGTGACACCGCGAGTCGGAGGTTCGCTTTTCAGAGCTCCGAGCTGGGCGGTTCGCGGCTGTTGCTGCTGTGGGTACTGGCCATAGCTTCCCGGCCGCCACAGGGAAGATTGATGCAGTCCGAGGGCACGCATCAATCGATTGAAGAGCGAAGCTGACTCAGGCGCACGATTCGGCTCGGGAGGATTGGGGGGCGTCAGCATGGCATATGTCGGCAGTGTCGAGAAGGTGGGAAGGTAGGAATAACCTCAGCAGCGCTGGCTGCGGTAGACGCATAGCAAAATAGAAGAATTCAGAGTTGGCGTAGTAGGTGTTCGGGCGGTCCGTTGGAAAATGTGCGATGAACCAAACTCTGACGGCAGGCATAGCATGGTGGGATGGATCCCGGAGAATAGCAGCGAAACGCCGTTTCCAACGGCGGCTCCGTACCCAGAAACAATGCAGGGTTTCCGTAGCGGTGGACAGGTCAAATACGACGGTTGCCCCGCGAGGAGCCTCTTTTTTGCGCACTCGCCTCGGTTGTCGGTGCTCGCGCGTTGCATGTGTCAGCCACAGAGAACGGTATTCGCACGTGAGTGTTGCAGCAAGCTCTGAAGGACCGTTATTGAGCGATGCTGGAAAGTGGCGCCGAGCAAGCAGCGTGGGTAAAAGGACAGTTGAAGCCGTGGTTCCGTAGTCTCTGGGGGTGCTGGTGTTGCGATGCGAGTGGGATGCGGCGGTTCTGCTGCGAGGAGAGTCAAAAATCTGCAGGACACAATCAAACAATGCCCGTCTGGATATTGAACGTGTGGACCGGTCTTCTTCATCGG